AACTCTAACTAGTATCATTCCATATGCAAATGAAAGCTCTTTCATATGATTATAAAGATCTTGTATCTTACTCTAGCTTGTTTTCAAAAAGGGATTATAATGACAAAAAATACATTTTATGGTTTTAAAAGAGCCATAACATGAACATAGTAAAATTATCTATACAATAAAAAACAGTATTATTAAGAGGAAACATTAGGCTTCTTGATGCATTAATTCCACTTGCATAGGAACACTTGTTCGCTAGATATTGTTTCTAAGAGAAAAAAAATCAAGGGTAAAATGTGACAAATGTTTTACTCTATTATCTATGCTAATATCTATGATTACGGTAGACCACACCCTCTATTCAGTTTTATTAGTGACCACGTGCAGAAACGTGGTCATACAGCACGGTCTAGGGGTAGTCTGGTAACCAGCCCCTTGCAAAACATGCGTTTTGCAAAACTTGCAAAACTTGCAAAACCTTAACTACGCATGTTTTGCAAGGGGCTGGTTACCAGACTAGTCTAGGGGTGTCCCGATTATGCTAATTTTTTAACCTATAATTCTATTCAGAAATTCTCAAAAATTTGCCTATTATTCTTTTTATTCTGCCCTATTATTCTCACTTTATTCTTTATAATCATGAGCTAACTACAATAAAAATGAAAATTAGTAAGTCTGAGAAGCTATTTAAAGTATCACTATCAACAGAGACTGCAAAATATAAGTCTCTATATCAATCTCAGAACCTAAACTTTGTTCAAAAATTGAGTTACAACTAGCTCAGGCATTAAAAAATTCAAAAATTGTGCATTTGCTGCTCTTTAATTAGAGTTTGGCTACTGATCAACCTATTAGGCCAACATTATTCTGGAATTGAAGTGCTGCCTATTATTCCCAAAATTATTCCGGAATAATCGGGACACCCCTAGGCAGTACTGCTCTGTATCACTCATTGATTAGAGAAAAGGAGTGATGAGGATATCAGAGAGACTATTTAGTACTTACAATGCTAATGTACTGGAATGTGGTGTATCTGTATAAGTAGTAGTGTCATTGGTACTGGATAGAGCTATTAGAGAGGAAGAAGAGGAGACAGTAAAGGAAGCATATCATTCACTACTAGTGATGTATGACAGGATCACTTTATAATCATTGATTAGAGTGTTTGTATGTAACTGGAACTTTAAAACATCATGAACACCCACGCAATGGAAGTGAATTAATTAAGTGATTGTGGGAGGGGCTGGATATCATGGCTAGCTGGAGTTGATGATGAGGATTGTGGTGGGGATTGTGATGAACTGGATCATCTAGATGAAGCTGTTACTAAATCCAGGAGCTCCTTCAAGACTATGTTTAATAAAGGATTCAAGTATCAGGCCTACTTGAACAGAGTTGTTGAAACTAAGAGGATCAGCTTAAATTTTCTACATAGGATAAGTGCATCAGAAAATTGTAATAAGAATGGGGGTGATTTTTGTATAACAGAGCATTTTACAGTACCAAAGTGTCCATGATATAGAGGCACCGTTGCAATTGCATACATTTATATACACACACTCTCCTTTCCTTCAAAGAACACCTCTGTATAACAGAGACACTTTCTCGACCCAAAGTGTCCATTGTATAGAGGCTCCATTGTAATACATGTACACACACTCTGTCTTTCTTCCTTTTATAGAGAGATGATCCCATCACTTGAATTACTAGCCAACATGAGCTATCAAGCAAAAGTTGTAGAAATAATGACTGCTCATGTTCATGATGTAAGACCACTTACTTTATTTTAATTATTAATATTTGTTTATTTATTTATTCATTTATTTACTTATTTGTTGTTGTTAGATAATTAATGTGAGTGAAGAGGAGTTAAAATTATTGGAAAATGAGTCGATTGGAGATGAAGGAAATGAGAGATTCGTTGGAGAAGAGGATGTACCACACACTCAAAGCAAAACACGTAAGTTAGAAAATAAGCATAAGCTACATGTATGTACAGTACATGCAGGCACTACAGGGATTTTAAAGAAATTGGCCTATTTTTTTCAATGACCATAACTTGAAAAATTGAAGTCGGAATCAGCTAAAACTTTTTACACAGCATAAGGACATCAATATGTATTTTAAAATGTAATAAAAATTGGGGGTGATTTTGGAGCTATTTTTTTTTAATCCATGGGCTATAGCCTTGGGTATTTTTTAGAATTTTGGCGTTTTTTTTTAATGGCCTTAACTTGAAAAATTGAAGTCGGAATTGGCTCAAACTTTCTACACAGCATAAGGACATCAATATGTATCAGAAAATGTAATAAAAATTGGGGGTGATTTTTTAGCCATTTTTTGGAAAAATCCATGGGCTATAGTACAGGGATTTTTTCAGAATTTTGGCGTTTTCTTAAATGGCCGTAACTCGAAAAATTTAAGTCGGAATCAGCTCAAACTTTCTACACAGCATAAGGACGTCAATATGTATTAGATAATATAATAAAAATTGGGAGTGATTTTGGAGCCATTTTTGGAAAAATCTATGGGCTATAGCCTTGGATATTTTCAGAATTTTGGTGTTTTCTTAAAATGGCCATAACTAGAAAAATTCAACTCGGAATTGGCTCAAACTTTCTACACAGCATAAGGACGTCAATACGTATTAGAAAATGTAATAAAAATTGGGGGTGATTTCGGAGCCATTTTTTGGAAAAAAGCATGGGCTATATATAGCCTTGGATATTTTCAGAATTTTGGTGTTTTCTTAAAATGGCCATAACTCAAAAAATTGAAGTCGGAATTGGCTCAAACTTTCTACACAGCATAAGGACGTCAATACGTATTAGAAAATGTAATAAAAATTGGGGGTGATTTTGGAGCCATTTTTGGAAAAAACGATGGGCTATAGTACAGGGATTTTTCCATAAATTGGCCAATTTTTTAATCAGCCAAAACTCTTAATTTAACCAGATTCAGTTCAAACTTAATGTGCATTAACATTTATCATGACTGACATCATTACATATTATTATTATCATTATAGTCACTATTGATGATGATGATAACAAGAGATTATCACTAACACCTTTCTCCACTCCACCGGAACAGTAAGTGGGCGTGACTGAGGGTGTGGTTACATGTGTACTTGTAGGCGAAGACATAACATGGAGGAACTACATGAAGTTGCTAAAGAATTCGAT